ATTCGAATCCAGGGCAGCTGACTCGACAGCCTACCCCAGCGCCCCCTTTGCTTGCAGGAGCTGGATTATGCGAGCACTCGCTGAAGGAAAGGCATTCATGCATTCGTATTCACTCATTCATTCATTGCCAGCCATTCCTGAGGGTCTGGCTGTAGGGTCACAGGCCCAGCTCGGCTGCCTCTGGCTCCCACTCACTGCGCACCCAGCGTCTCTCCCAGCTCTCCGGGGCTGCCTGAGCTCAGGGCCGGAAGGGGGGTGGGGAGGTAAGTAACGAGGCTAGCACCCCTTTAAGGTCACCGTCGCCCTACCCCACCCCCATGCCACCCCACAAATTAGGAAAAACAAGGACAAAACTAAATTTCTTTTATGATCAAGAAAGAGAAAAGAAAATAAAAAACATGTATACAACACCCTGTCCAAAGCGCCTGACAATTATTTTTAAAGGAGGGGAGTGGAGAGAGAGTTCAAACGTCTCTGTCTCCAGTTCTAATTGGAAACGTTTCAACTGTTTATGTTACAAGAAGTGTCAGGGTCATTTGCTACCGGAGAGCTGACTTTTCATTGGCTGCTTAATTGAGTACCTCGGAGTCCACCCCACGTGGGAGAGGAATTCCTGGCACATTAAAAAAAAAAAAAAGTCACCCGGGTGAGACAGAAAGCCCGGCCTGGATTTACAGAGTGGCGGCCTGGGGAGCCCTCATTTGGGGTTCAGGGTGGTTGGTGGGCAGCTGTTTGCCAGCTCTGAGAGCTGCTCCTCTGGTTCTTTAAAAAGCATTGTCAAACACTTTAGAGAGAGTGTTAATACATGTTTTCTCCTTTTCTCAGGAATTGAAGGGTCTGGCTTGGGTCAGCCTGAGCTGTGGCCTCCTATTTGAGGAAGTGACCCCAGTGCCTTGGGTGGGGTTGTGAGCCTCTCCCTGTCATCCCTTCCCCTACAGCCTCCACTGGCTTTGATTTTTTAGAGGCCTCCCCTTAGGACTGCCCAAAGAGAAGAGAAATCTGCGTTGCCCACCCTGCTGTGGGTGATTCTGTAAGGCTCCTCTGATTGTGGGCCCTTAACTCCATTGCTAGGGCAGTTCTGTCCCTCTACCCTCACCCCTGCTGCCCACCAGTCATCCCAGGCCTTCCTCCACAAGTGAGCACAGCACCACAGAGCAAGAGGAAAAGGAACTTTGATTTATTTAATAAACTCTTACACAGTGCTTGCTCTATGCCAGACACTGTTCTAAGCACTTGTCAAATATTAACACACTTAATCCTCTCACAATGAATGAATTGGGTGCTGTCAGTATCACCCGTATTTTACAGAGGAGGCAATTGGTGACCAGTGGTACAATGACTTGCCCAAGGTCACTTCAGTGGCTGACGGACTTGAACCCAGGCAATTCGGCTCCAGAGTGTTCGCCACCACGCCTCACTGTCTCTACAAGCTTGGCTTTCCTGGGAATACAGATCAGGGCTGTAGGACAGACCGCAGCAAACTGGAGGGCCCCAGGAAGTCCCAGAGGGTCCCCCTATTGACCTCATCCTGGAGCCACCTCATTTCAGGGAAGGGGACAGAGCTCTGAGAAGTCAAGGGACTTCCCAG